CTAGGTACGCAACTCCATCTCTCCAAAACCCCGCTCGGTAATGTCCAGAGCTCCAGTCTTCGCCGATATGGATAATGAATGCATAGAGGCTAAAGGACACTGCTTCTGTTGAGGTTCCGTTATCTTGAAACATTGGCATCTCAAGAACTGTGTCCAGCGCTTGTGGGCGGGAAGTTTTGATTTGCTGATCAAATCTTTGAATTTGTAAGCAAATGAGTCTTGTATCTGGAAGCAAGGCAAACACACTACCCCTGTTCGTCCATTGTGTTACTGATTGCTGAAGAGTCGAGAGTCCATCCGGCGGCTCGGGTAGATACAGAATCAAGCCACCTTTTTCCTCAACACTTATGCGTTCCTCCGGTGCTGAGATATGAACTCGCGCCTCCCATTTATCTGATGAAAGATCTGGAATACGCTGAGAGATATGCAACAGAAATTGAGATGCATCCTCCTGCCTGGGTCGTAATCGCCATCCTGCTAGCAGCGGACGAAGATGTCGCAACCTCCGAACATCCGCATGAGAGGATCTGCCATTCAGGGAACCTATTTCCGTTAGGATGGAATTTAAAGAAGGATCTGGGAACAGTCCGTCTGACAAGAGAGAGATAAGGATATGAACGACCGTGTGTGCATAGCACAGTTGATGCGGATTATGATAAGCTAGACGCCAGGCAGCGTCTTGCATGGAAGCTGTGGGAGGTGCAGTGGTTGAACGACCCGAGACGCGTGCAGTGTATGTCAGCAAAGAAGCTCGGCTGCTGGAGGAAGCCTCCTGGGAGGAAGCCTCCCTTCCTCTCACCTGGCTAATTGGAGGATCTGCACTGAAGAGATCTGGCAGCTCCATAGGCTTGGCACAAGCTGCACTCATGGCGTATGTCTGAAGCAGAACCACACATTGCTCTGCATGGCGTACTGGAGCATCTACCACAATGCGACAATACCTACATTCTTCTTTTTTGTGCAGGAGGCGCTTATGTGTTCGCATGTTGGCAAGAATGGATGCCGAGGATTGTGCCCAGAAAGCGGGATGAGCTTTCTGAATGTGCTGTTTCACTCCTTTGTGGCCAACAATGTATTGCCCACAGAGACTGCAGTTCGTTAATAGATGCTGAGTGACATGTCTCTTTTTTAGTAGAAGATCAGGATCCTTCTTAAGTTGTTCCTGCACGCTAGACTGATAGATCATAGCTATGCTTTCTGAGCTTGTACAGGATTTGGCTCGTTCTTTCAGCTCGTGCAGCTGAGGGCAAATGCCTGACTCCACATGTCTGCGAAGTTGATGCATTGTGCGCAACTGCCTGTTGCATGCCGCACATTGCGGAAGTCCTTTGCAGCTATGCACAGTGACCTGAAATTTTGGGCCTAGCTGATTCGCACGCTGTCCTCCATGCTTCACCAGAGTATGTTGCTGAAGACCCTTACGGTACCTCCTGGTCTGCCTCGGTCAGGTCCAAATGCATGCTCTGAAGCTCCTGTTGCAGCGCAACAATCCTACCTCGAAGTCCCAGATACCACTGTATGTTCTGATCCGGGTTGTACTTCTGACAGGCATCTAGTGCGTCTTGGTAGTTTTTCATCTGGCTGATCAAAACTGCTTGAGGAGTCTGAACCTTATATTGCTCGAACAGAGTCTTCGTGTCAATATGGCTGTAGTGCTGATGTTGCTTAAAGATGGATCTTAGCATCCGCGAGTATTTACTCTGAAGCTTCTGAAGACCTGATGAGGTGATGCCAGTGGCCACAAGCCCATGCAAGAGTGAGGATTCCACATAGACCCTCCAGATCTCCAACTTCTTTGAAGCCTCCAAGGCCTTAGTGGAGCACAGGATGTGTCGAAGTAGCTCAAACTTGCCTTGAGCTTGGGCGATCCTATAGTCAACAGTCTGGTCTTTGTAGGATCCATAGCTGAGCTGCACCCCTAGATATGTTAGTTTGTGATGAATCGGAATCTTATGTCCTGAGGGAAGGACGATGTGCAACTGCTTCTCTTTGCGCATCGTGTGCTTCTTGCGAAAGATGGACTGCTGAGTGCCCTGAACCATTAGCAAGGCTTTGGACTTCGTTGGATTGACTTCCAGCCCCACGTCCTCAAGAGACTGAAAGAGAGCCTCTATTCTGAGCAGGACTTTCTGAAGTTCAGGAAAGCTCGAGAAGGTTTCCTGGAGCAGGAAATCGTCTGCAAAGACTGTTAGGATGTCCCTAGCTTGCTTGCTATCTGGGCCCCATTTCTGCTCCATTCTGCTCATGACTAGAAGTGTCAGCGCAGACCACAATGCCGGGGCTAGCTTGCAACCTTGTTTGATTCCTGAAGAAGTGGGAACTTGAATCTCTAGTCCACTTGTGCCCATGTTGTAGGAGGTCTCACTGTGTAGTTGAACTACCAGTTCTTTCGTAACAGGGTCTGTTCCCAGGCGATCCAAGGCAGCTAGCAGCTCATGTCTATTAACAGAATCAAAAGCTTTGCTCAGATCAACCGAAATAGTAAGTGCCCCTGACAGCTGAGCCTGCCTGGCTCCGCGTTGGGACTTGTGCAGGTCCCTGCGATGCACTTGACGGAGCTGCTGCACGAAATCAAGGTGCTGACATGCTTTCGCGATGGCGTCCCGCACCCCCCTCTGCCTGATGTACGCAAATTGAGGCTGAAGCTGTGAGCTCGCCTGCAGTGCTGGTGCAATGCGAGTCTTCACTGCGCCTGCTAGCACTTTGCCTGGCACGCTGATGACTCCTATGGGCCTCAGGTTTTTCATGGCGGTGGCTGGCTTGCCCGGCTTGGGGATCCATGCAATTCGAGGGTCCTTTAGATAAGGGGAAATTTCAGATTGGGACACCTCAGAGTTGATTAGACCTGCTATGTGTTCGTGGGCTTCAGGACCTAGACTCTTCCAAGCTGATACTGGGGCTGAGGTGCTGGGGACTGCTTTCCCCACTGGCACTGTCTTGATTTGTGAGGATACCTGCAAGGCGGTGATCGCTGCTCTGGGCACAGCAGCTACTGAGTGCAAAGGAGAACTTTTGGAGAAGATTTGACTCGAGTATTCGCGCATAGTTTTTAGTGAGGCCTCCGTATCAAGCGGCTCACCTGCTTGATCCCTTAGGTTGACTCTCTGCACTGGGCGCCACGGAGCAAGTTTCCTGAGAGTATGAGCCAGTTTGTGGGATTGTTGCCTTTTATCTTCCTGGGCTTGTAGAAGCAACTGCTCTTGCTTCTCTAGCTTTCTTTGTTTTTGCTGTTTTTTGAAAGTCCGCGCCTCCTCCTTGATGTCCTCCACAAGCTTCTGGCATTCTGAATTATGCTCGGTTCCAGCCCTCTTGTGCGCCTGGATTTGCCGCACTTTCTTCCAGTATTCCTGATGAATAGGACCTGCTACTGGCTGAGACTTGCGTGGAGGAGGATAGTGCTCAGCTGATACACTAACCATCACTTCATCCAGTTCTTGCCAAGACGGTCTCACTTGCATTGTCCTCACCACTGCTTCCGTCAGACGATGTGAGTATGCCTGCCAGTTGTCATCTTTCCGCCGAAAGCTCGCATCCAGGGCTGTGGCATCAAACGGCCGTGGCTTGCTGGGTGTAGGACTGTAAGGAGGAATGAACAGAGTGGCTCGCACTGGAAAGTGTTTTGATCCATCTCTGTAGGCTGCCACCGGAAAGTTCTTATCCGAGTAGGCCTCCTTGGATCTCCTCCGAGCATCGTGCAGTCTGACCAGCAAAAAATCGATCTGAGAGGAATATGTGCCATCACTGCTAGCATACGTACTGCGATGGCCAGAAGCCCATGTGTTCAGCGCAGTTAGTCCACAGGATTTGCAGAGCGAGGGCAGTGTCTTCACATCCGCATTTGCAAACCGTACTCGATGAGGCACACTTGGTCCGATATGAGGACGTTCAGTCACCGCATGCGCATTGAAATCCCCAGCCACAATCAAGAAGTCACGTTGTGGGACTCTCTGTATTCGATTTTCGAGCTGTGTCATCACGTCCTTTCTCCTGCCTCTGTTTTCCGTCTTCGAGAGCTTTGAATCCCAGACGTGCTGGTACAGGTTCAGGAGATGTATTCTGGATCTCTGCCACGGGATCATGACGTGCTGCAAATGCCCTGGAACAATGGAAGTGCTGCGAATTTCTGAAAGAGGAGCCAGTGAGCTATGCACCAAGACAACCAGGCCAGCCTTGTGTCTGCTTGTTGAGCCACAGGTTAGGACTGACCACGGGCCTGAGCTGTAGACCTGGTCCTGCTGCCAATGCGATTCCTGCAGGAAAACGATTTTGATGTTCTTGTACTCTGTTGTTGCCAAAAGGGCCAGAATCTCGTTCCAAACACGACTTGTTATTGAGCCTGCGTTCCAAGTAAGGACTTCCATGTCAAATTTGTGATGGATCTGTCTGTTCGGTTGAAAAGAACGCCTCTCCGCTTTCCCAGGAGACGCGAATTGTCCTTCATGAGCTCCTAGAGCCTGAGCTGTCAGAAGACGGCCTTTGTAAAGTGCTGCTCCCTTCGCCAGGGCAACTTTACAAGCTCTTTGGTAGCTTCGCTTGCCGGTTTTGTTCATGGTTAGCTGACTTCGCTGCGCATGCTGCTCAGCTTCATCGGGGGGCGCTACTTCCCGAAACCCTCGATTCTGATCCATGGCTGGACCCTGGGACTTGGGACCCAGGCACCCAAGAAAGCTCGCTACGGCTACGAGAAATAAAATCCTCATCTTGGGCCAGAATCTTACAACAACAACAACAACAACAACAACAACAACAACAACAACACAATCAAGCAAGCAAACAAACAAACAAACAGGCAAACAAAAAGCAGGAACACAAACAAACACACAACCAAACAACCAGCCAAACAAGCACATACACACAATCAAACAAACAAACGCTCACGCAGACAAACAATCAAGCGAGCATGCAGGCAAGCAAGCAAGCAAACAAACACGCAAACAACATAGCAACAACATTTGCTGCAAACATGCAAGTGGGTCACTGCGCGAGCTTGGGGCAAGCAGGCGCGTGTGGGTCGCCGGCCATCCGGTGGCTCCGTGGTTCTTCAGCCGACCCCGAATTCAAGTCCTATCTGGGACAAGCGGGGCTTCAAGAAGAAGGGCCTGGACTCCAAATATCTGGCCAAGCAGATCCCCGGATCAGGAGTGGGGGGGGGGGGGGGGGGCGTGTTGTGTTTTTTTTGCCATCTATTTTTTTTTTGCAGGGGGGGGGGGGGTGGGGGCGTTTCGGGGGACCTATAACCCCAACATCGCAAATTCATAGGTGCAGTAGCCCCCCCCCATGATCATTTCAGCGCAACTTCGGCCAGCAATTCCTTAGTGTTGGGGAGGTGTGGGGGACGCCAACGTCTGCACCCGTGACGACGTCACCAAGTCTGTGGATGCCTTGGACGCAGAGGGGATGAAGGCCACCTACCCCACCCTCATCAATGGCCGCAGCGGTGTCAAGCTGCAGGACAGCCAGGCTGATGGCACCTAAAGAATAGTAGAAATAGGGCTCCTAGGGTCTTGAGGGTTCGGTGTTCTATAAGGCCTGCAATTACGGGATTTTGTGGGCATGTGAGTTGAAGAAGTACCTCAACCCTAAACTGGCCCTAAACTCTAAAACCCTAAAAGTATCCCTAACCTAAAGCCCTTTCCCTGGCACAGTTTAGGGATGTTTCGGGACTATAAGCCCTGAACCCTGTACACCCCAAACCTAACCCCTAAAACCCTGGTTCCCTGAAAGGCCGCGCTTCAAGCACAAGTGGCGAAGCTGGGGCCTTCGAGCGATTGCAAGAGTTCGTGGTCCTGTCTGCATTTAGATTTTTGAGGGTTTAGGGTACGGGAGGACACCTAAGGGTGATAGGGTAAATAGTTGGAACTCAAACCAGCCACCTACAACTCCTAGAGCCAACAAATACGGAGAACGCAGTAAGGGGTAAGAGAGGGGAAAACCACAACCACAACTTTCCAAAAGCCCTGAAATCCCTGACGGGGTACCGACCAACAGGCTAAGGGGGGGTCCTGGCCGGGAATACCAGGCCTAAGCCACCTACCCGAACCAGGGACCAACCACCAACACCCACTACCTGAACCCCTCTTGGCGCTTTTCTCTACCTGACTCTTGGCGTTTCCAGCCATGTGTCTTGAGCCATATATCCACGGTTGTTGTCTTTCCAACCTGTACAATACAATACCTTCTCCGCATAGGGTTTAGGGCTTAGTTCTTCTTGTGATGACTTTGTGCCGGCTTTGGTTTGGGGTTTAGGGTTCTAGGGTTTAGGGCCCTGTGGTTGTAGGGTTTGGGGTTCAGTGAGTCGCAGCTGAGGCAGGCGGGTCTTGCCAGCAAGGAGGCCACGACTTATGTGGCCCAAGATGCTTCAGATGAGCGCAGTGCCGTCAAGGCAGCGCTTCACCCTGGACCCTATAATACCATATAAACCCTATAAGCCCTATAAACCTTCCATTCTAAATCCTAAGCCCTTAGCGCAGTAGCCTGCGAAGCGGATCATCCAGCCAGGCGGCAAAAACAACTAAGCCCTCAACCCCTGCAGCAGGTGCAGACGGTGCAGGAGGATGACATGCCACCGGCGCAGGCAAGGTCTACGACTCGAGCACCAGCATCGCTCATGTCCAGCGTGCAAAGCCAGCAAGGAAGGAGAGCGCAAGTGGGAGAACCAGGGGCAAAACCTACTAAACCTCAAACCCTAAACCCCAAACCCCAGGAAGCAAAAACAAAGAGAGAGGGCAGGAAACCTTGAATGCTGAAACAGCGATGTGGTCACAGGTGCAGGAGATGCTGCAGGCACTGGAAGCACAAGTCTACGATCTGTCCCACAAGCTCGAGGCCGGGGAAAGGGGGGGGGGACCTTGAAAAGGGTTTTCGGGTCCCTATACCAACAAAAGGGTTATATCCTTAAAAGTGAAGGGTTATAAACTCAAAAGGGTTTAGGGCCCATATACCAACAAAAGGGATGATAGCAGTGTGGGATGTAGGATCCCAAGTAGAGGGTTCATTTGGCCCCCAAAGATCATGGACTCTCATGGAGAGATAGTGAGGTCTCAGTTGACGTTTGCGACCCCCTCCCCCCCAAAAAAAAACATAAACTACATATATATATATATATATATGGTACTCGCCCCCCCATTGATCTACACTTGTTTGTCTTTTTTTGTCGTTCTTTGCGTTCATTAAACTTTAAGCCCGTGTTCATGAACACTGGCCCCGTGTTAATTAACACGCCCGGATCCAAGATCTAAGATCCAACATTCCCAGAAAGGTCTTTTGAGGAAACTTGGTTCCTGAGGCCCGGGCCAGTGTCACGGGCCCCGTGTTATAATTAACACGCCCGTATCCAAGATCCAAGATTCCCAGAAAAGTCTTTTGAGGAATCTTGGTTCCCAGGGCTTGACTAAGCCTGGCTCCCCAAGCCCACACACAGGACTCGGGAACCAAGATTATTCAAGAGACTTATCTGGGAATCTTGGATCTCGGATCCGGGCGTGTTAATTAACACGGGCTGCAGGCTTTGGAAACCAATAGTCTGTCTTCCCACGACTTTTGCTATAAGTATTCGTTTATATCACATTGCGTAATTGTAAACGCTTGCGCGCGCCGCCTCGGCAGCCGGACGGGCCTACGGACAGGGTTTCTGGGAAAGTCCTCAAAAAAGGGGACAGCCAAATTTGCGCTCTTTGGCCCGCCCCCTCTCTAGGCGCCGGCGACAGGCGGGACCCCCCGCGGCATCGGTTTGCAGCTGCCCCAAGCCATCGGGGGGGGTCCCCCTTTGCATGGGGGGAAGGGTTGGGTTAGGGGGAAGGAGGCCCGATCCGGGTCTGCTTGCTCCAGACGCTTCTCGGCAGGAAGCCGAGGCGAATAATACACAGCACAACAAGGCTGCCACTGACGGGGAGGTATCATGGTAAAGTACTTTCCGCAATTCCTGGATTAGGGGGGGGGGGACCATATGCCCCCGCCCCCCACCAGAATCTACCTTTTCGCCCCTATGGGGGGTGAATCTAAAGGCTTAAAGTTTAACTCCTACACCATTTCAAAATTACAAATAAGACCGTTAAAGGTTAAGTGTTTAAGGTCTTAATCCCTAAGCTTTAAAGCCTTTAGGGTTGAGGGTCAAACCTTAAAACCGAAACCTTTACACCCTATAGGGTTTCAAGGTTAGGCAATTAAACCTAAACCCTTAACCTTTTAAACTCTCTAGGCCTGAACCTTTAACCTTTAAACCCTGTAGGGTTAAGGTTTAACGGTTTAGCATTTAATATTTAGGCATTTACACCCAAGCCCATAAATTTGAACATTAAGGGTTGCAGGCCTTGGCATTTAAACCTTGAAGCCAAACCCTTTAGGGTTAGAACCCCAAAACCCACAGGGTTAAAAAGGTTTAAAGGGTTTAACCCTATAGGCGCTGAAGGTACAAATGCTCAAGCCGGAGGTTTACATGCACATAAAGCTTCGGACTAGGAATTTAAACCTCAGGTTTAGGCATTTAAAGGGGTAAGGTCTAGGAATTTAAACTGGGCATTCAAGCTGTAACCCTAAAGGTTTAAACCTCAAACCCTATTGGGTCACTACAGGATTAGGAATACGTTACCTGTCAACGCTATAGCTTTCAAGATTTAGGGTTTAGGTTTAGAGCTTTAAACTCTATAGGGCTTAAAGGCTCAATTTTTTCAGGGTTATCTCCAAAACCCTATCGGGTTAGCCCTGTAGGTTTTAAACCCTATGGGGGTTAGCCTGTAGGGATTCAACCCTATGGGTGAAAGATTTAGGGTTTAAGGTTTAGGCAGGAAAAAAACCTTCACCTGAACCCTATGGGGCTTTAACCCCATTACTGTTTTCAAGATAAACCCTGGAGCCCTACAGGGCTTACAGTTTAAATCCTTAAACCCTAGACCCTACAGGGTTTAGGGTTATAACGCTAAACGCTATAGGATTAGAACCTTATATCCCTATAGGGCTTGAGGCTTTACACCCCCCAAACCTTAAATCCCTTAGGGTTATGCCTATGTTTGTAGGGCTTGCCTCCTGTGGAAATGCAAAAACAAAGTTGAAAATCATCCACACCATGTATGTATATAGGGTATATGAGTATTGTATATCAAGTAGAGATAATGGACAAGGAAGGATGGCATGCCTCGAGCCATAAGACTAGGAAGTATTCGAATGCATGGGGCGATGCGGAAAAACAACTTTCTGCAAGCCCCGGGGACGCAAGAATACTGTGAGCAAATGTCCTTTCACGGTTTCCTGGAACCTTCCACAAGGCTGCTAGTACTTGCTCGCAAGTATTTTGCTTTTCATTGTCAATGTTCCCACAGGTCTCCCAACATGGTTATCATTCAAGGATTATTTCTCATTTTCAAATGTTCCGCGAGACTCACAAGTACACTAGGTCTCAGATGATACTCGTCCAAAGCAAGTGGGTATCACATCCTTCGCACTGCAAGCACTTTGGGATTTACGATAGCAAGGAACCCCGCATATAGATCTCCTCATAACAGGATCCCCTGATAATAGGGACCCCAATGGGGTAACTACCGCCCCTGATTTCGAAAAGCCCCACAGCCAGGCCAGCGAGTCGCGCTGTGCAGACCTCTGGTGCCTCAGCGCAGCGTTTATGGCGCAGTCGACCCACCTTGGGGGATTCAAGGAACCCTAAAACTTGGACCATAAAATCCACACTATTAAACACCTATTAAGGTTGAAAGTTGTCCACGTCGGGGCTTCAGGAATGTAGTGCCGATATGCTCAAAGTCCACAGGAGGGTTCTGGGGGTCAAGGCAACACGAGGTGCGGCAAATGGCGGCACAGCTAAGTTGGCTCTCTTTTTCAGCGAATCCCCTGATCTGTGTAAGCTGCAGCGACAACTGGATTCAGAATGGAGCTGCAACAAGCGCTTCAGCTTGCAAAGGTATGCGCCACTATAGTACCTATTAAGGTATATGGAGCATAAGCCCCCTTTAAGGTGCAGTAGTCCCCAAGGCACCCAGACCGCACCGCAATGGTCGGTCTTAAGGCTGGTACCTACTGGTTCTTAGTAGGGAATGAGGGAAAGAGGTACCCTATAGAATCCCTTAAAGGGTATATATAGGGGGATAAAAGGAACTCCCTCATTCCCGAGTAAGAACCAGTAGGGATAGACTGCACGGTCGCATCGTGCTGCATCTTCCCCATCCTCCCCTAAAAATGGGTTGAGGGTTTAGGGTTTAGGAGTATATAATATACTAGAGATCCTAAGAGCCCATAGGCTTGAGCAACCTCCCCTTCGCCTTTGTTCCGGATTCGCCAGGCGCCAGAACACGGCCCTTCAACTCACTGTGGAACGGATCATGGAGCGCGAGAGATCTACAGCTTCCTCGTTGCTTGCCAGCCGATAGCGGTATAGCCTCTTGTGCATCATCCCTAAATTGGTGAACCCTCAACCCTAAACCATTCACGGATGCTGCGCAGAGCATGTGAGCAGCCCAGGTGCGAAGCTGAAATCAATACACTCAAGGCAGGAATCAGGGTGTATGATGCAGTGACCCCCTGCCCTATCCCTTGGGGAAAGAATGAACCCTATAACTGGGATCATTTTTCCCCCACACTACGAGAATCCCTATTAAGTGGTCGATGGACCATAAGCCCTTTTAACGTTCATTGTGAGTCATCAAGGAATGTTACCTCCTAAGTTCCCCCCCTCCCCCCAATATAGTATAATTCTACTTATAAGACCCCTAAAAGCGTAGCGTTTAGGGTTGGGGCTGGGGGTTGATATTTGTGGAGGGGATTGGCAGTGATTGGCAAGGGTCCCTGAATTCCCAAGCCCTGGACGACCCTAAACCCTAAACCCTAAACCCTAAACCCTAAACCCTAAACCCTAAACCCTAAACCCTAAACCCTAAACCCTAAACCCTAAACCCTAAACTGACAAGGAGCAGCTACAACTGGGTCGCGCAGAGGCCCTGGAGGCCAGGAGCAGCCCCAGGTTTCCACCATCCTGTTGTCCGTCAGCCTGGGGGTTGATCTATCTTTTGGGTCCTTTTTGGTAGCCGAAACTATAAGCTATAAGATACTCTAAGGAATTTACTATAATATCCTAAACTATATGGTGCTATAAGAACATATATCTCTAATCCCCTAGACTATATAAGATATATAACTCTAATCCCCTAGACTATAAGATACTATAAGGAATATACTCTAAAACAGACCCCCAGAAAGCCCAAAATGTGGATCCCCCCCAGCTCTGCATAGCTCCACTGTCTTCTTAGAGTTTAGGAGCCAGGGCAGCGGGCCGGTGGGAGTCCTTTGTACCTCTACGGGAAATGGCGTCGTTTGGAGGAACAAGATCGGAGCTCCTCGCGGATCTGTGCACTTCATGGAAAGGCCTTCTGCTCTGCTGAAGTTGGAAGCCGATGGCCCCAGTCCTGCTCATGTGGTGCAGAGGTTGAGAAAAGCTCGTGCGAAGCTGCTGAGCTGGAGAGGCGGCTGAAGGAGGAATCCGATAAGGCAGGTTGCTGCTGGGACCCGTCGGGCGGTATCTGTGGTCACGACCAGAGATTGTCATGGAGAGCAGACAGGCAGGCAAAGATTGCCTGAAGTTGAGACGTGCTTGCCTCCGATAGCTCATTTCAAAGTGCTGAGTTGGACTGGACCGCCACTTTTGTGTCGCATATCTTTTGCTTCTGCAGGTAGAGCAGCTGGAGCAGCAAGTGCAAGTGGAGAAGGACAAGGCACTTTGGGGTTTAGGGTTGGGGGGTTGATCGAAATTATGGGCCTTCTGGAGGGTCTATATTATAGTAAACTGCTAAAAGTTTAGGGTGCCCAAAAGGGACCAGAATTTTGATCAACCCCATATGGACCATAAACCTCTGTAAGGCTCCTTTCGTCCCCAAGGTTTGCTGTTGATGTGCTTCGTTGTTTCCCGCTGAAAAAGCACCAAGTCGGACTGACACGACGGCCGTCTTTAGCAGGCAGCGCAGCTGGAGCAGCAGCTGCAAGAGGAAAAGGACAAGGCAGGCTGCCACGTAGAGATGCCGAAAGGTAAGGGTCACGAACGTAATTCATGAAGTATCTTCATGAGAGGTTAAAGATGAACCATGTCATAGTGCAGACGTCTTTTCGGAAAGCTCAACAATTTGTAACATGCTAGTATAATCCCTATTAAGGGGTTGACCTAAATGTTGGGTTCTTTGGTACTGTTTGGGGCTGTGGTGCTCTTGCAGAAGCACACCAGACCTGCGCAGTACTGGGTTAAACCCACGCCAGAGGAAGGCACCTAGGGAAGGGGCAACCCTGAAGCCAACCCTGAAGACCAGGCCATTGCACAAGCGAGAGGCATCGTGACCCAGAAAAAGACTGAAGCCCTGACAAAAGCACAAGCAGGGCAAGGGCTGGCCCACAAGCGACTCTGCAGCTCCGACGTTCACGCACTTACTAACCGTGCCTTGCAGATCCATCCATGGAGGGAAGGAAGACCTGGGCTCTGCACAAGCTACAGCAACTAAGGCCTAACTCAAACCCAACATAACCCAACTTGCGAGACTCTTCCTTGCATTGCAGCAAGTCCCACGACAAGGAAAGGGCCAAAACAAGCGGCAAAGCAGACCGCTGAAAACTTTGACCTTTGAAAGCATCCTAAACCCCATCCTAAACCCCGCAGCACCGCCCCTCAACTCTTGAGCGCGTGGCCGACGACTCTCCTCTCAACCAGGCGCGGGGACCATGCTTTCCCTGAACAAGGGCGCAGGGAACACACCCGGCACCACGAGGCACAAGACAGGGAGGATGCCAACAGCTTGCCTGTCACGACCCAGGCCTGAGGGCCTGGAAAAGGGAATGCCTTACTCAAACCTTAACCTACCCAGACCTGAAGGCCGGGAGAAACCAAGCCAGGCCAAAACGAACTCAACCTCACAAACCAGCTATCCCATCCACTGCAGGATGCCTCACTGAGGGAGAGGCCTGTTGCGGTTCAAGCTGCAAATAAACCAACACAAAAGCGCACCTTCTGACGGCAGAGACGGTAACCAATTTTGCAGTAAGGAGCAAGGAGCCCGGAGCTCACCAAGATTTGGCAAAACCATGCGAAATCATGAAAACGTGGGAAAATCATGCAAGCAAGGTCACCATGCCAAAAGTGTTGGTTCATGCTGAGCAAGGTGCGTGTGCCATGGCCCCCACTACGTAGCAAGACCCTGTGGTCAAACTCTTCCGCTCTCAAGAACTGCAAGCTACGAAACTACCAAATGGCCCATAATTTGGATCAACCTCCCATATGGACCATAAACCCTTTTAAGGTTCATTTAGTTTCAAAGGCTGGCGCCAGGTTTTCTGCAAAGCAGGTCCCAACTTCCCAGATAAATAGCTTCGCAAGTTACTAGATAGGCCCTTGGGATATTTGCCCGGTAGTAGGCTTAAGAACGCAAAGCCCGAATAAGAGTCGAAACGAAACCAATGCTGTGATGTCGGGAAGCCTTTTTCAAGTTTGGTGCTTTTTCTGCCTGATTTGCCTGATTACATTGGTTATGCGATCTGGGATGGTAGTAGTGATGTGGGGTGAACACCTCATGGGGGATCGGTGGGGAGCCCACAAGCCGCAGGCAGTACGATTCCAGAAGCAGCGTGAGCAACAAAGGGATGAGGCCGAATACCACTGGCTTGCTTGTGGCGACATGCAGCCACCCAAACAGAATCGCTTGTTCATAGTAGTCATGTCAAGCTGTGTCAAGCAGGCGCTCGACCCGGTACTCCTTCAGCAGGAGAAGGAGAAGGCAGTTGTCATTGCTTGTTGCTGCCTGCCACAAGTCTCCGGCCATGTCCTTTGCAGGCAGCGAAGCTGGAGCAGCAACTGCAAGTGGAAAGGGCCAAGGCACCAACATCGAATTCTTAGTCTTGCATCTTGTTAGCTTGTAGTGTTCACGAACCTGAAGGGTTGGCTACAGTTGCAGAGTCCTCGATTGTGCCGAGAAATTTCGCCCACTGACCGCGGGAATTTTGAAATCGGTTCTGGGTAGTTGTTATATATTGAATTTTCTCTTCTTGGGTTTAAGAGAACCCTTTTTTCAAGTTAACATCTAGGTCCAGGTAGGCCCTTGGAATTTCTTTACTTCCTTTTGGGTTTAAGAGGTCCTGTTTAGGAATATATTTCAGAAAGCTTCTAGGGCCAACCTAGACACAAACGGTCCATGTACCTCAAATCTGAGCGCGTGATTTAGGATTTAGGGTGTTGGGTTTATATAGGTTTAGGGTTCATGAGCCAATCGAGCACGGAGCACGCAACAGTATGTGTGCGTGATGCCCTTCACAGAGCAGTGTGTGATCCTCAGGCACATTGAACAAGAAAGGGCCCATGCCAGCGGGCCCGAAGGCTACCTCTTTGGTAAATGATCCCTATAATTTAGATTATTTCCCATACTGCGATATTCCCTCTTTGGTATAGGGGACCATAAACCCTTTAAGGTTCAGTGCCTGCGGACTGATAGTTGTATGCAGCCGCGTGTGAGACGCAAACGCCAGCCCGATGCATTTGACCGTGTATCCAAGATCCGGAAAAAGTTGGACTCTTGGGGAATCGAGATACTTGCTCAATTGGGCGTTGATCAAAATTATGGGCCCTTTTGGGGGTCTCTATGTAGATTCCCTATCGTTTAGGGTACCAAAAAGGGCCCATAATTTAGATCAACCCCAATTGCTTGTCACTCCGTGGCCATGTCCTGTGCAGGTAGCAAAGGCGGAGGAGCAGTGGCAAGAGGAAAAGGACAAGGCTGAACAAACTGGGGTACCTTTCCCAAACACTTATGCTCACTTTCCTTGAGATTTGGCAGGCTGAGCTTGACACTAGCTTTTGCCCACCCGACCTCTTATGTCCAAAACAATTCATATCCAAAACAATATGATGGAAGGAACCCTTCCACCCCCAAGAAAAAACAACATGGATCTGTAGTTCATGGAAGCCCTAAGCCCTAACCCCTAAATTAACCCCCCTAAACCCTCAACCCCAACCTGCCCAATCTAATCACGGCCAGCTGCCAAAGAGCCGCGCCCATCCGGAGGCAGCCAAATTTCAACAGCAGCTCTTGCAACAGAGGAGCGAGGCCGGATGCTCGGGTTTGGGAGGGGGGGGGTTTAGGGTTTGGGTTTAGGGTTTATAGGGTTTAGGGTTTATAGGGTTTAGGGTTTATAGGGTTTAGGGGTTCCTAGGGGAATAAATGAACCTGAGAAGGGCTTATGGTCCATATACCTAAATTGGGATTATGGTAGTACGGGAGAGATGATTCCAACTATAGGGTTCATGAAGTCCCCAAGGCTAGGGTTTGTAGGGTTTAGGGCCGCTTGCCTTTTGCCGCGCTTTTGCCAAGCAGTGGTTCCTTGCCTTCAGGCGATGGACCCCATGCTTCTGCAGCAGGAGAAGGCGAAGGCGCTTGCCATTGATGTGTTTTGTTGTTTTGTTGTTTGGACTGCTTGCCATCTTTCTGCGGAGATGTCCCCTGCAGGTAGCGCGGCTGGAGCAGCAGCTGCAAGAGGAAAAAGATAAGGCTCTCGCGATGTGAAGCATGACTGGCTCTTCTCAGCTGGTTCTGATTTCCACGTTAGTAAGTACAGTGTGAACAAAACTAGTCCCGGTGTGTATGACCATTGACGCAAGGCTGAAGATGAACTGGATCGAGCAAAGAGGCTTCTCAGAAAGGCGGGAGTTTCTCCCGCAGTATCCCCGAGCCCCCTCATTCTGAGAAGCCCTCAGGCCGACCAAGAGGCTATCCATTTGGCGCTCCGTTCGGGCCTTGGTCAAACCAGGTTTCGCACCCCCCAAACTGACACTGAATCTCCTCAAAATGCCATCTAGACAACTGCGTTCCATGTACTGCTACTACTGCTCCTCCTGCTGCTGCGGCTGCTGCTGCTGCTGGGTTTCGAAGATTTCGAAATTTCAGTTGTGACGACACCAAGAATCAGAGCGCAAGGAATGCATGATAATTGTTCCTGTTCGGGAAAGGGCAGAGGCAGCTTACAAAGTATCCAGGTTAGCTATGGGATACGCCTGGGGAGCGTGGGGGGAAAAGGGGAAACCCTCTGTCTTTTGGCGCTCCCCTCCCACCCCCCCCCCCCCCCCCCCGAAATCCGTGCAAAGAGTCAAGAGTCAGAACGTTTAGTTTGTTTGTGTTTTCTTGGCTTTTGCAGGTTTTTTGTTTTTGTTTGTGATTCTCTTTGGGATTCTGGAGCATTATTGTTGGCTGTAATTCGGTTCTCGAACATTCGTAGAAGCCTTGCTTGTGCACACCACGGCGTGCCACGCAGGGCGAAGATTTCAAAGATGTGTGGAAGCCTTGCTTGTGCACGCCACGGTGTGCCACACAGGGCGAAGATTGACAACAAAAGCATGTACCCAGATAAAGCTGGAAATCCGTGCAAAGAGTCAGGAGTCAGAACGTTTAGTTTGTTTGTGTTTTCTTGGCTTTTGCAGGTTTTTTTGTTTTTGTTTGTGATTCTCTTTGTTTGTGCTTCTCTTGGGATTCTGGAGCATTAGTAGTTCGGAAGCCCTGCTTGTGCACACCACGGCGTGCCACGTAGGGCGACGATTGCAAGCAAAAGCATGTAGCCAGGTAAAGTTGGAAATCCGTGCAAAGAGTCAAGAGTCAGAACATTTAGTTTGTTCGTATTCTTTTGGTTTTTGGATTCTCTTTGGGATTCTCAAGCAAAATTTGTTGGCTGTAACTCGGTTTTTCGAACTTTCATAGAAGTCCTGCTTGTGCACACAACTGCGTGCCACACCTCCAGATTTTTCAACCCACACACACAACCAGCCAAGAACATCGTTTAGTCTAGGGGGAGATACCAGGAGCCCTGCAAGAAAGTGTTGTAGCCACCCTAGCAAGACCATGTTGGGAATATAAATACAGCGACAATGTGGATAGCATGTTCTGGGGCTGACCTGAAGCATGAGGAGTAATGGTGGTTTTGCCAGGCCAGAGCCGACGTCACCGAGAAGCAGAGGAGCGGGCCGTGTGGACGTACATCCAAGCCATGGGCAACCAGCGGATGTTCCAGATGCCTGTGGAGTGGGTACAAGGGCAGCAGTACTATTGCAGCGAGAGGACAGGTCAAAGCGCGTCGTCCCTCCCACCAGGAACCAACTTCAGGCATGGAGCCTGTGGCGGCTGCGGTGGCATGCCTTACGGACAGCAGGTTCTTTGATGTACTTGAATGGGGAGAAGATCGTGGACAACGACGGCTGCCATGGTGAACTCGAAGGCTCAGCCACCACAAGTCTCTTTCGGTTGGTGCGCACCATGTGGTGGTGGACATGTGCGAGATGTGCGGCGGCCAAAACTTCAAGTTTCATTCCCAAGGGCCGGACACCGGCGTTGCCAAGGTCAAAGTTACCTCCTCGGCCGCGAGAAATGTGCACATGTCCACATGAGCAAGGGTCAAAACTATGTTACTTGCGGTTTTGCCTTGGGAGGACATGCTGAAGGGTCAAAAACCCTGTAAAGCGACGGGGAACACCGAAAAGCGAGCCCCTTATGGCATCCATAGCAGAAACATCAGTCCATCACCATCATTCAAGAAGTCGGGTGCTCTTGGGGTTGTAAAAAAACCCCGGTCAGTCGAATTATGTGAGGACTTGCCCGTAGCGGTTGGGCAAGTGCGTCTACCCTGTAAAACGATAAGTAAGAAAAAAGCGACAACGCCAAATCAAGGTAAACTCAGCCGGCTCACGGAAACATCGATTCTAGTACTAGGCTTGCACTACAAATCAATGAAAAACCAGCCGGCTCACGGAAACATCGATTCCAGTACTAGGCTTGTACTACAAATCAACGAAAACCCAGCCGGCTCACGGAAACATCGATTCCAGCACTAAGCTTGTACTACAAATCAACGAAAACCCAGCGGGCTCACGGAAACATCGATTCCAGCACTAAGCTTGTACTACAAATCAACGAAAACCCAGCGGGCTCACGGAACATCGATTCCAGTACTAAGCTTGTACCCTCAGCCCTAAACCCTGTAAAGCGACAGGTTCAATTGGGGTCCATAACCAAAACCATCAAAACCCTTGTAAAGCGATGGGGAACACCGAAAAGCGACGCCCCTTGTTGCGCGACCTAGGCCTGTTATACATGTTATACAGAGTTTTGACGCTCGCTCACATGTCCATGACACTTCAACTTGACATTGCCAAATTGAATCACCTGCTCCGCCATTTTGGCTGAAGTTGGCTACTCCAAAGTATGGAGGACATCCATTTGACTCCCACACTCTCTCCTGTGAGTGCCCGAGTGTGAACCAGATCGAAATGAACCTGAGAGATTGGTTATTTGGTGGCAACTAAGGCCGTGACCTTGTCACTGTTTGGAGGCCTTCACAGAAGGGATTGTAGCAGTTAAAAGCTTATCTCTGCAACGCAGTTTGGGCGTCGGTCTGCGGAACGGGCTTTGACTGCGCGACATGATTATCCAACGGAAGTGCGCATCCTTGGATGGCATGGCTGGCATGAATAGGTTTGGATGTCAGCTGTTTACTCAACTCTGATGTTGACACGTGGCAGGCTGCCAACAGGAGCGTCAGGATCGTGTGGAGGCTTTGACGGACATCGTGCATAGGATTGCATAGGACTCCTGACCATGACAAGCCGCAATTGAATAGCTACCCGGTTGTTTGGAGGTTCGCAAGTCCGGATGGCAAGCAGTTCACCCTTGATTTTGATCATGTTGGGGTGCGGGCCTTGGGTTGGAGCTCACAGCAGAATTGTCAGAATTGTGCTGAAATTCGGAGCAAGAGTCTGCCTTCCCAGAGCGCTCACCAGCATCCCTGCTTGAGCTTGGCGGCTGTTCAATGTTCTTGTAGCACAGATGTTTGGAGTCTACGAATGTCTTTGCAAAGTGCCCAGACGTCGTCAAGGCTCAGATCTGTCAGGTAGCGAAATGCGTGTTTCACCTGTGCTTCCAAGCAGCCGTTCCTTGAAGGAGTTAATCTCGCAGGTGGGCGTGCCATGTCGCGAGGAAAGCCAAGAGGGCTGACAGCATCGTACCCTAGAGTTGTGCAAAATTAATTCCGGATTTGTGTACGCTTCGTGCGACGCAATGACATTCTGATTTTCTCGTGAATGTACCAAGTAACACCCGCAGCGAGGAGCCAACACTTCTGTCAGGAAGGGAGGAGGAGGAGGACTGCAAAGCGCAATGCGCTGTGCCACATGCACCTGAGGAAGAAGAGTATTGCACGCCGCCTGACCCCTCACCACGTCCCACCATCGATGACAACTCTCCAGTGGGCGAAGAGAAAGCACCCAGGGCACCCAGACACGGGTCCATGAAGCTTGGTCAGGACCAGTTCATGTCAACAGCTGACGTCACCCTTTTTGTTGGCCCTATTCGAGTAGCCTACTGGTTACGTTCTTGCTCATTGCAGCATGATTCTTTCTGAGACCTCGCTTGCCTCGCCTGGCAGGAGGAGTCACCACGGAAAAGCATGAGCACTGTGGGCATTGATGCTCTTCCCGTCAAGACACAGGATTCGGAGCAGCAGTCCGATGGCCCGGATACTACTCGCTGTCGAAGCAAACGCAAAAGACCTCCACCTGTGCATAAGAGCATGGGCATGGACCTCTTTGAAAAAGATGCGAAGACTATGCTAAAGGCTTTTCTGGACCGATATCTTGGGCGGCGGCCAGTCACAGGTGATTATTGGTATGATAGTACTTGCACTGACGGGCAGTTCACGACAGTGTTGCATTGCCCATGCTTCACTGAGAAGCTCTACTACGGAACCCCCTGCAGCACCAAGCTTTCAGCTGAACTATCGGCAGCAGATGCCTGGCGTGAGGATAATGAAACACAAGAGGCGGCTGCGAGGTTGCCAGCCACGATGTCCAGCATCAAGTACTGGACGAAGGCCATGCGTGTGGACCGACAGGGCCGGTCCATCGCTGAACACAGCCGGCAGCAGTACATGGATATGAAAGAACGCGGATGCCGCACTGCACTCTGGGACGGAAGAGAGTGACGGGAAAAAGGTGCGTCAGATCAGGTCTGAGAGGTAGTTGGACCACTGCGCATACGCGGCCGTGGGTTAATCCACATTTTTAGGTTTGGCTCTGGTTTCAAGGTGGGTGGGGGGAGTGGGGGGGATAAGAACGTCAGTCATATTGCGTCCATGCCCAAAACACTGGAATTTACGGTGTTCTCATCACTTTGTCCAACATACCGCGCACGGATGTGGAACAAGACACGTTGTCGCAAGCGTCCATGCCTTTGGCGACCATGCCCAAAACACTGGTATCTACAGCGTTTTGCGATTCTGAGTTTTTTCGACCTGCTGAAAGAAAGTGACACCTATGCTTTGAAGCGGCTGCTGCACCCGCGACTCAGGAACCGCACAAGAGATTTTGGCCCTATTTTTACTTCCTTCTTTTGAACCAGAACGACGAATACATGGCAAACAACAATGCAACGTGCACTTGCCCTCAATCCGCACGTGTGTCTGAAACACCACGGCCGCGTACGCGCCGTGGACCATGTAGTTGGCACATACGATGGCTCACTGGCACGACTTTTCTGGAACGGCGTGGAGGCTGCTTGTCTTGTTGTAGGCCTGTTGGCACAAGGCGCTTGGCAAGCTGCAACACCTTGGTTCTTTAAGGTCGACAATCGTTCTGTCTCCTACCTGGATGGCTTGCGCCTCAAACAGCTGTGGCCTTGTAGTTGCCGTTCGACCCACAATGAGGGTTCAACGTTTCCATTGGCTCGCTTGCTAATTGCAGCAGATGGGAACATGACAAGTACGGATTCTCGAACTTTACCAGCCCTTGTTCGAGTTGCTCGAGGCCTCCTCTCGGGCCAGCATTGGTGGCGTGCACTCCCAAGCATTTGACTTGTGTTGAGTGTGACTGCTGTGTGGCCTTGCAAAGGGATGTGCAGGAGCAGTCTTGTGGTACTTGAGGTGACGTATTCCAGCACGCTGACGCTGGTGGTGAGGACGCAGACGGCAGCTTTCTCACGGAAAGCAACCTGGCTTCGAACGTGCGTCTCTGCTGGTATCCGCTCGAGTGTTTGGACATGTTTGGACATGTTTGGGCTACATTGGGTTACCGTATTCGCTGGTACCGGAAGGATGCGATTCGCTCAAAGGGTTTGCGGTTTCTTTAAATTGAAGGAATCGAATCGATGCGATTCGTTTGGGTGGCCGTGTTCATTCATGCGGTTCGTTTCGATTCGTGTTCCGTTTCCTACTAAGTAGGTGGTACAGCGAAGGGGAAGGACTTTCTGAACTAATCCTGGCCCTGAACCTCCAACCTAAAATCCTGAAGCGCCAAGCCCCATCCCGCAAACCCCAAACCCCGGGCGTTGACCCTGGAGAGCGGCGCTCCCGTCTGAGGATCCTGAAAGCAGGCCCCCCCGCACCGAAAACGTACCCAATTCATTTTACCTTAGGCGAGGAAGACATCAATCGGTGCGCGGGGCCTGTTTTCGGTGCCCCGAAAACATACCCGTCTTTATGCCTTCCTGGCCTCAAGGAGCCTGAAACGGATACGCTTTTGGTGCACGGGGCCTTGTTTGGTGGGGTGTAGCCACATTCAGAAAACAGTGGCCACATTCAGCTAACAAAAGTCAACAAACACGAGGGCTACAGTCAGCAAACGCCACAGCCGCATTCAGCAAAAATCGAGGACACACTCAGCAAACAGAAAGGCCACATTCAGCACACAATTTGCGAGCTCTATTTGCACCTGAAAAAAACAATCGAGGGGGGGTGGGGGGAGGGGCGGGGCTGCGTGCTTTTCATGTCTGCCAAGAGAATTACACATGTCGGGCAGGAAAGAACGGTTTGGAGGTATGTTTTTGTACCCGAAAAACAAGCGGGGGGGTTGGGAGGGGGGGTGGCTTTTCGTTTCACGAATGTGGCTCTTTCTAATGCAGAATTTTAAAATTTCGGGGAGGGTCCGGAAATGTTGTCCAGCCGCCGGGCTACATTTCACCCGAGCTTTCCGCGGCGCTTGCTGACTGTGGTTCTCTTTCTGCGGTACGTGGCTCTTTCGAAAGTTGACGAACTTTCTATTGTGGTGGGGGGTGTGGTGTCCTCAGATGTCGTCCAAATGTAGTGGAGCCGCTAAACGACATTTCAGGGCCCGAAGCTGCCGAGGGTTTTCCGTGGCGTTTGCTGACTGTGGCCTTCCGTTTCGCGAATGTGGCCCTTTGTAATGCTGAATTTCGTAGTTTCGGGGATGCCAGCCGCTGGGCTACATTTCAGGTAATTCGTGGAGGCCCCCATTTGAAGACACCATGCTGGCATGTAGGGCTCTCCAGAGGAAGGCTTTTTTGAGAAGGCAGGGTGATAATTACTGGGTGACGCGTGCTGTCGACAGGATGACGTGCTTTTGATATCTCCAAGAGAAAAATCAACCATGTTCGGGCAAAGCGGGCCCCACATGACAGTAGCCATGTCAGCTGGAAGATTGTATTTTCGCAGCTGCGATTGCCCAAACCTTAAACTGCATACCCTGAGGTCTAAAGCCAATACTCGAAACTCGCAACCCCAAAGCCTTACTGTACTGCCGGAAGCCCTAAACCCTGAATGCCTTAACCCCAAACCCCAAACCCCAAACCCCAAACCCCAAACCCCAAACCCCAAACCCCAAACCCCAAACCCCAAACCCCAAACCCCAAACCCCAAACCCTAAACCCTAAACCCTCAACTGCCCTAGTTGGATCTGGTGCGCTGCGTTGAGGCTCAGCTCCGGAGGTAGCGGCGTGGCGAAGAGAGAACGCATCTGGTGCCCGGGCTTGGGCCCGAGAGGAGCTCGCTCCCTGAGCTTGAAAAGTTCCGGTTTAGGGTTTAGGGTTTAGGGTTTGGGGTTTAGGGTTTAGGGTTTAGGGCAAGTTTAGGGGTTAGGGGTGAGTGTTTAGGGCCACAAACACAGCCCCCGCAGAGGTTCTAATCACGTACTTCTGAGCGCAGCCGTAGAAATGCCAATGTCGCGTGAAGCGTGAACTGTACTGCTCAGGTATCCAGGTGTCGGCGAAAGAAAGGCAACCCCTACCCCCACATAGATGCAAACTTGCACTAGGCACTGCGCGGCTATGCACCTGAATACCGCCAATCGGCGGTTGCTCCATTTCGAGCTGTTCCTGCAGACCCTACCAACTTGGCTGTGCTAGCCAACCACGGATGTGCCTGCGAAAAGCTTGTCAAGAAGATCAGGAAAATGGGTGGGCTCGATGAACACCTGCGCATAAGCAGCTCATGGAACGCAACAAACGAGCAAAGAAAAATCAACAGACATTACGTCCGTACAACAATGAGCATGTGAAGGAGAACCCGTACCAAGTTCTTCAGTACAAACGATTGCAAACGAAGCAAGACATGTAAGGCATGTGTCGCTGCATCTTGCCGGCCTCATTCGGCTCTTGGCCAGCCATAGGCTCCACTCCAAAAGAAGGCCCTTTGTGTTGACCTGCCTCGTTTTTGCTTGGCCCCATCTCTCTCTTAATTGACCCTCGGGCCCTGGCAGGTTTGGGCCCCTGCTTTTCAGAATCTTTTTCAATCCATGTAGTTAGTGTGAGCCTGCAAGTCTGTAAGTCTGTAAGTCTGTGTGAATGTGTGAACGTGTGAGCGTGTGAGTCTGAGTGCGTGTGTTCTCTTTCCACCCTGGAAGGTGAAGGTCGCTGTGCTCACAGGTACGCGTGGTCATATGGGTAGCAAGGAAAAATACGGCCCACACACCCCTCCAAAGCCAGCGAAACACCAGTGGGTGCGCTCATCTTCCCTTTTTCGTGCGAATGCTAACGCGGCTTGGCCTGAGGTCCATGCTTTCGGCGAACTTGTGCCGGCGATCCCGAACCTCTCGCCCGGAGTCTACGGTCCCAGTTGTCATGGGTTGGGGATACGCAGTAACTCGCATGTCACCTGCATGTCCCCTGAAGACCAGCCACTTCTGAGAATGCGCCGCAGGCAAAGCCTCCTGCGCGTGCAACTCCATCAGCAGGCAGGATATGCACAGATATTCAGAAGCTAGGGAAGCAGCACCACACTGCTGCGGGGAAATCACTTGCCAGCGTGTCAACATAAGAGCATAAGCGCAGCATGCCATTGGCAGCTGGTCCAGCTTTTGTTACGCATTCAGCTGCGTGCTGCGCGCTGTTGCAGGAAGTCTGGTCACAGCCAGCTGGCTTTTGAACCCAACATTGAAGTAAGGGAGCATGTTCTCAGGATTCCAGGCCGAGTGTGAGGCGCGATGTTGATGACCGGGACTTGGTTTCGTTGCTGCGTGGCGAGGGATTGTTTATGCTTCTGTCCATGTTTCACTGTTTCACCATGCTGGGTCATGCACAGTTGAGACTGCTGCTCGAAGCCCATGTTTCGCGCTGTAAAGGCCCATGTTAAGATGTTGAGAATATAGTTGCTCTCAGGTCATGCAGGGATTCTGAAAGCTTACGGCACACGCGCCCTTTGCGTACTTCACCCAAAGAACAACCACGGCCTGGCGAGGGCCCCGGGTTGCCTGTTGTTTCACCGTCACCTTTCGACGTGGGCCATGGATTTTGATTCCGGGTTACCCTGTCTTCAGGCAGGTCTCTGCAACATTTGTTCAGTGCCGCGCGCTCGCCTGAGATCATTCAGGAAGCCAGGTTGCTCACTCCACACTGCCGCTGGCTGACCATTTGATGAGATGTCTTCCAACATGCACATGAGGCCGCACATCAAAAGTTTCCAGAAAAAGAGAGGCCTGAGCCTCAGAACCCGTCTCGCAGCTTTCTGGAGCTGAGTGGCATCCGCTGGGCATCCGCCAGAATTCCATTCGTTGGAAGTTGAGTTTACCTCAGGGATTTCGGTGTTTTGGCTGTGGCGCAATCACAATGCCACGCTGCTGTGATCACAGTTTGAAGTGTTCACAGCATTGTTGACTTCATTCACACGTTACCATGTCTGTGTCTGAAGCAGAGCAGTACGATGTCCATGGAAGCGGTTGCTCAGGCTCTCCACCTGGTCTCGTGCACTGGCAATGCTTCGCAGACTGACTCGGCCCGTTTTAGGTGTTAAGTCTTGGTGATAACGGGATTCTTTCGTGAGAAATTGTTAGCCCAGATTGTGCCCTCAGCCGTTCTCCTCTTCTTGGTCTGGGTGCCGGTTTCATCTTCCTTCTTGTTAATCTTTTCTTTCTCTTAGTCTTCCTTCTCCTCCTCTCTTGTCTTTCCTCTTCAGTTCGCCTTTCTTCGAGTGCTTGATCCACTCTTTGATCGCTGCTTCTTCCTTCGCGCACTCTTTCTTCCTCCTTGAGGGCCCCACCGTCCCCTAGAACCTTAGGGCAGAAGTGTTTCACTGCGCGACTCTGCAGGCTCTACTTGTGGCTCAAACACTCAGGAGAAAAAGTGTGCCCGAGTGAGTTGTGTTAGGGTTTAAGTTTGCCGTTAAACCTTCATCTGCCGACAACTACAGGCGAGATCTCTGACTGATGTCCTTTACAAAGTTTATGCTTCCTTGTTGCATCAGCAGAATGCGCGGGAACCAGTTCGGCTTTCGCCGTGGATGATCTACATCCCAGCCGATTCACATTCATGAACGTCAAGAATCTCCGCTTCATGTGTTATGTCTCGATTAGTCAGAGGCGGTTGACTCCGTTTCTTTCGCCTCGATTTTATTTATGAGTCGCCGAGGTTTCGAGTGAAAGATTCCGGCTCAACTTCAGGTGCCCGCGGTACAGAACCGTGGTGTTCGCCAGGGCTGCCCACTCTAGCCGCACTTACTTGACATCATCCCTACTTGCGTTTTCCATGTCGTTGAGCAGAGCTACGAGCCAGCGATATGAAGCCCTCGCAAGAGTTTTAGCCTTGCCTTCTCGCAATATACTGATGACTCAGTGTTGCTCTCGCAGTCTTTCATGCAGCTGAACCGGCTGCTGCATCTCTTGTAGTTTCACGGCCTCCAGGTTGGTTTGACGCTTGATTTTTGCGAAAATAGAGCCCCAAACCTTGCAGGCATAGCACTGGGCGGACAGATGATGACGAGAATGACTGCTTGATTCACTTCCCTGTGCCCTAAGCAGCGAGGTTGAAAGTGCTGTGAAGACTACGCTGGCACCGACGCCCTGTGAGCAGCCCGCGATCATCTGTGAGGAGACCTCCGATGGGCTCCGAGAGTTGAAAGTCGACACGTTCATGCTTGGCCCATGTCCATAGATTGTCTCTATCCAGCGCGGTGTTGGGCTCGAATAGCCTTTCGAAGCATGTCGAAGCCCTACACTTTTTCGGGCGGACGGAGTTCTGCATTGTGCCCGGTCTGCATGTCATTCTTTCTGGATTTCTGACATGAATTTTCTGCATCTCTTCCACGCACGCACAACACGTGCATGCACGCCCACGCACTGTTGTGCTGGATGTAAACGCAATTCATGCAGCTAAGGACCAAAAGACACAAAGTGCCACATGGTTCTCCGCCGCCGCCTCCTGAGATATTCCACGATGACGTCCTCACCATAACTTCCGTCGTGTGGAAGGAGTTCTTGGACAAGGGAGGAATCAACGACTTAATCAACCGCAAGATGTCGAATAAGTCCATCTACGAAGAGTTGGACCAGTTCCTCACGGCGGCGCAATGGGAGCGTGTGAGCGGAGGCGATGAGAGGTTCACTTTGACCATGGAATCTTCTGCGACCATCAAAGGCTTGCCCGATGCCTCTTTCGTTGGCCAGCAGGAGACTTACCCGAACGTCATGGGCTATAACAATTTTATGGAGAAGTTGCACCTCTTGTTCGCCTCCCAGTTCTCGGATCGAGAAATGTGCTATCGCCGAGACCGCAATGTTGGACACGACCAAGTTGCGCTAGTGTGCAGCTCCAGCTAAAGGTTTTGTGGATGGCCGCGACATCAAGGAAAAGTGCACGATTAGTTTTTCGGGAGCTCCAAGTCGCAGTTTGCCTGGTACTGTTTGAGGCTGGCACGGCTTTGGACGTTCGATGATTCAAGGGATCTATGCACTGCTGCGCTGTGGACAAGATCAGCCTTTGTCAGTTTCTCGAAGGGTATAACTACTAGTTAAGGAATTCCGGGCAAGAGGATACTGATAGCTCCGCCGCGGCTATGAAAACCTGGGAAGGAACCTAGATCATCAATCCGTCGGCAGCGTGGGCTCCACTTAGGTTTACTCCGATTTTTCTGTGAGTCCAGCGAAACAGAGACTGACATGGCAGAGGCGTATATAAGGTTACGGTACGTTACGGTACCGAAATGCGGATAAGGTGCCACCGTTGGCGGACATCGCTCATTCTTATTGGCAATCTCCCTCCACACAATTCCTCACAAGTACTCTGGATGGACAACGCTCTGCTATATCTATCGTAGGCTGAACCCGGTAGCTCAGGATAGAACTAGGTGGCAAGAGCTGCCTACATGGCCTCGTGATGTAACGTAGCTTGAAACTGCCAAGGTTGATGAGCAACCGCTGACTGCCTTAGACTAGGGACAATAAACCCTAAAGCGCACGTCGCCCTGTTGCGGACAATACTTGTATGCGCAGGAATGTGGGCACTGCACGTCGGTCTCAGTCCGTGAGAGCTCGAAACTCACGATGCCTGGCGGACGGTCATGCTTTAGACTTTAGACGTTTGTTGCACAGTTCTTACCACAAGTGCCACAATCTGGAGTGCTTGTTGGCGGAGAGCTTGTTTCGTTATAGCGTTCAGAAACCGAATGCGGCTGCCCAAACTGCGACTCCCCAATGTGGAGGCTCCCCACAACCCGAAACCAAGAAGAACCTTTCACTGGCGAACTGTGTATTTCCCAAAATAGGGGTACTCCTTTTATACACTAAATAGAGTAGAATCCCCTTTAAAGGGATCCCCGAAACAAAAGTTCCCCTAATTATTCCACAATGCGGAAATCCGGTGAAGACGGAACCTTGTCAGCGCTTCTCCGGCCCATGCGACTTCCTAGCATCGAAGAGACAATCGTCTGGCTGGTGTCAAGCAACAAGGGCTCACGATTGCTTGCGAATTCGTCGCTTAGGCCTTTGAACATGTCAAGCTGTGTCTGTACACTGTCATGCATGCAAGCAGACCAACAACCTCGCGATTTGTCGACTCTCAGTTTGCAGTTGCTTGGGGGGTTCTGCTTGCGCCCACCTTTGGCAACATTGGCACTTGAGGTTGGGCCTGGCCTGCAGCAATCTATTGCTTAAGATTCATCTCATAAATTGTGAAATAGATGTGCTGCCGAATGAAACAGACACAGTTGAGGAATGCCGAGCGGCTACAGTGAGTGACAACTTTTGTAACCGAACGTTGCCGTGTCTTCGTACGATTCAGAGTGGACACGTGAAAAGGATTGTACCTGTTCTGATGAGCGCGGAATGTAGGAATATAGGTAGGCTCTAGCATTTAGGCCTTAGGGGTTACTTCCTGACAGCTCTCAATCCATCAGCCATGTTGCCGCTGCTCGTTTTGGCAGCGGTGTTAAGTCTTGCTGCTGGCACGCTGCCACCCTTCTCGCCCTGTGATCCTGGGCCCTACAGCATCTCACAAGCGCCTCTTGGCTTACTTTGATGGCACCGTCGTGTCAACATTGTAAACTGCAGTGTTTGTGTTATGTGCTTGTTTCTGCTCAGCGCCTTATCGTGTCCATCCCGGTCTGCGCACTCTATCATGCTTTACTCGATCTGGGATCTGATCCATATCGGGCTTCAACAAAGGCTTTGGGGGCTGGCCCTCAACCCTACACATTAGCGCAACAATCCCACAGTCAGACAAAGCTCTCGACTTGGGCTTCTTCCATATTCGGTATTGCTGTGAAAACCCTTCATCATACCTGTCAAAGACAGCACAGGAAGGACAACAAGGGTAAGCGTAACAAGAACTACGATAATGATGAGTTTAAAACCCTGGCTTTTGGCCTCACAGCTTGCGGACTTGAGAGGACCATTCATGCAGAACTGCGGTGTGTTCATACCGTCCAAGCGAATTTTCAGTGCAGTTGAAGTCTCAAGCCCAGGTGGGTGACTTTGAAACATATATTGCAGAGACTTGACTGTCACGCAACAGACCTCCAACTCTTGACGTAAACGTAGCTTGTTGGATGTCTGGTAAGGACGCATGGTCGAAGCTTCCACTTGGGGCACGCACGCGGAGGCATGTGGTGCCTTCTTGTGCTGAGCGCCTATTGAGTCCCTTTACAGTAAGTCTTATCACACAGGCCTCTGCATCGGGTATATGGTTTGAGACAAACTTGACGGCCCCCCATACTTGGTCACTTAGCGCTCCCCCGCCCCCTACTAAGTCAATTTGGCCCCCTACTTCGCCACTTTGCACGCCCACCGGCCCCCTACTCGATCAATTTTGCCCCCAATTGTGTGGCGCAGTTCGAGTAAAGCTACATCTTTTTCGAGTGCTCAAATTGCCCCGTGCCTTTTCGCTGCGCCCGCCATGTCGCAGACCGGGACGTTGAAGACCTTCATGCCTGACAAAGGCTACGGCTTCATCAAGACGTCCGACGGCTCGGATTTGTGCACATCACGAATCTGACCAACGGCTGCTCCAGTGACATGATTCCAGGGCGTTGTTTTGCCATTGCATGGGTAGCCTCGGCGCAGGCAAAAAGGCTAGAGGCGGAAACGTTGGAAGCAGTGCCTGAGCCTCAGACTCAGGCATGATTCATGCTGCCGTCGTTTGTTCCGAGCCCCATTGCTTGATGCTCTGCGTGCGAGGTTTGGACTTGGGGCCAGGTTGTAAGTTGCGAAAGGGTGCTGAAAGGGGCGTTTAGGGTTGTGGGGGCACTGGGTCCGGGGTTCAGTCTTAAAAACAGTAAGCGTACTGGGGCCAGTTACTGGGGCTTTTTTCGACAGCATGAGAGGTGGAAAAGGAAGGAGAGAGGATGTTCACGGGCCTTGATTATATCTAAAGGGGCTGTTGCAGGCTGCCCAGCCGACAAGAACCAAGGTATGGGCACAAAAAAACTTAATAGTGTGTAATGTGCCTGTCAGGAAAGTTCTCGCGAGTGTTGAGCACTGGGTTTACGCCTAACGCGTATGCCAACATAACATGTGGCACAAACAGGAGTCCTGTGACAGTTCCGAGGACACGTGCCCAGACGGTAGGAAGGCGAGCGAGCACCTAGGTTACAGGCAGGCGCTCTAGCAGAATCGCAACATGCTCTGTGTTAGTCTGGCACAACAGCCAGACCGCGCCGGACAGATGAAACTTTCACCCATGCCCAAGCCATGCGGGATCGCGGGGGGAAATGTGGGATGCTAGACAGCAAAGGTTCTAAGCTGCATGCTGTGCAAGTACACGCGTAAAAGCGACATCTGCAGATATTCCGCTGCAGTTCTTTGGTCAAGTTGCAGTTTCCAGGAGCCGACCTTGGTTTGTTTAGACGCAACCAGCTGCCTCAGGCTTGAATTGTGATCTGGATGAGCCGCTGCTTCGAGACCCAGGTGGCATCGATCGCGGCGAAAAGTCATGCGTCTTGGAAGGGGTAGAACAGTGTAACCCATGTTCATTGGTCAATGGTTGGGTTGGAGGGATCCAAGGATCGCAAGAGGAGCAATTGGCCATCATCATCATCATCATCATCATCATGTTCTTCTTCTTTGTCATCATTATCCACATGTTCAGGTAAGATGCGTGTTCAAAGCAACATTCACGTCGAGCGGCTATCCTTGCGGGGACAGTCCCTGTGTGCAAGGGACCAAGCGCGAATCAGCATTGTAGGTGTAGCTAGCACACAGCCTGGAATTGGCAGAGCTCTGTGCAACCCTGGCAAAGGAGCTTGTCGGTTTGCTTTCGTTTACTGCGAGGAGCCAACATAGGCTTGATGTTATGAGTTGTTTTTCCCCGTTTGCTCTTGTGTTTTCGGCTTTAGAATTTCTACGCCTTGCTGAGTGCTGAGCACTCCATTACTTCCGGACCCCAGTCATGTTCCTAGTGTGCCAGTGCCCAGGCACATTCCTCTGGCCAGCCGTTCATAGGCTCGAACCATTTAGGTGCCCCGACACATCACGCAACTGAGTGGCCACCCGAACTCATTGTGTCCATGTTCTCTCATGTGGAATTTCAGGCTATGAGATGCAAGTACCAAGTCCAGCTTGTGAAGAATCAAAAATCACAGCGTTGCGCCCAAATACGCCCAGTAGGCATGTGGCAAGCCTTTTGGGCGCAAAGCCAAAACCATGGCCGCGTGGCATGGTGCGTGCGGAATGGGGCCACTCCTGCAGGCAACGTGGGGGTTTACGATCTTAGGGAGTACCTTATCATCGGGGTCCTTGTGATAAGTAAGGAGCTCTACTAATCAGGGATCCGTTTTAGGGGTCCCATACTTTCGTTAAACCCCATGTTCACTTCGGGATGTTGGTGTGACTTGGCACGGGCTTAGGCGTCACCGGTGGCTTGCGATTTGAGGGCGTTAGACACTTGAACCTGCTTTCGAGTTGGGGTTTTGCACGCATGTAATCACATTAATGCAACTTCGGGCAAACATCAAGCTGTGTCACGACACTGCCCTTCCCTTCGTCCTTTCTTCCTTTCGCCTTTTGTCTGCCCTGAGTGGGACCGGGCTGAGATGGATATTGCCGAGTGAGGCGTCTTCCTCCACAGAAGCCAGCAGTGAGCTGAAAGTGCAGACCTGCCCGTTTCAGGAGGCCACCTCTGTGCCCCAGCAAAGAACTTTTGCACGGCTTTCTTCAACGATGCCGGGGCCTTAGAGCACAGGCTTTTGGAAGTACAAGGTGATAGCTTACAGAGAAGCGCGAGACTCATCATCCGCTGGCTGCTTTTGCTGTCAATCATGTGGGTAGTTCTCTAAATTAGGGTCCCTTTTGGGGGGGTCCTGTTTAAAGGGTGCCGCCTTATAATGGGTACCCAAAAAGGGACCCTAATTTAGGAAACTGCCCATGTAAACATTGATTGCATGATTGCTAAGCGTGCCTCTTGCTTTTCACTGAGGCCCTTCATGATCCTAACCGGCTCCATCGAATTGGGCGAGCCCGCAGCGCAGGGGACTTGGTTCCATAGAGGCCCATCGTCTAGGGCAAGCGTTCTACAACGCCCGGCACAGGGTAGAAATGATGCTGGAATGTGTTGGAATCCTAGCATCCTGGTGCTGGTGCCAAAGGGACAACGAAGTACTCGTATGCGAAGTCGGCAGCAAGCAGCAACCAGTATTGCAGGGAGCAATTGCAGCAGCGTTGCTTTCCTCCGTTGCCTATTGCTCAGGCTTCCCACGGACCAGTTTCGGCTCATGTTCGGGGACCGCTCCTGCAGTACTTCGGTCTATGGGCAACGCATGAGTCACGGCATCAGAATATCTCTACCAAAAGTAGGCGAGGAGTACGTGAGGCTGGCCATGCCCCGGGCGCCATGCGCGCTTCATCGAGCTGCGTGTCACGGGCATGCTTAGCGAGTTTCAAGAGGGTGCTCCAGGAGGTGGTTCGGCTCCAGATTTTTTGAGAAAGCTAAGGGAACAGGCAACAGGCAACAGGCCAAAAGACTCTGTGCGGGACGCCAGCTGGCAACAACACGGATTTCGCGGACAACATCAATGAAGTCGGAGACGGTACGCGGGCAGAGTGATGGAACGTTTTGCTGGCAGCGGCACGGGTGTACGATGCATTCTCGCAGAAAGATCGCCAGTCTGAGGTATGGATGTCAGAGAAGCGACCATCTCGGTGAGGGGGAAGGAGTGCCTGCAAATCTTGCATGTAGCCTTCTGGTCAAAACAGTTTTCCAGCGACAGATGTGTTGCAGGATCTCATGCTTCCGCCGCTCATGCCACTTGCTCAAGGATTCTTGACTCGCATCAGCTCGCATCATTGCAAAGTCGCATTCTGTGTTTGCACGGAAAGCCTTTCCATGCTAAGCAGGTAGATGTGTACCTAACTCGGACTCCTGCAGCATCCAGGACGGTCCTGTCAAGTCGAGGTCGATTGGCATGCGGTAGGGCCCACCGCCCCCACCTCCCCCCCCCACACCCCCCCCCCCCCCCCCCCCCCCCCCCCACCCCAAAACCCCCGCCCCCCCAAACCCCCCTCCTTGGTTCACAGTGCAGTCACGCTCAGTCGCTCAGACTCAGAGACAGCGCCGAGTAAACCCCCCATTGGGGCAGAAGAAGCATCGTAAAAAGGCAGGGTTTTTGAGGAAGGACCCAAGAAACATCGTAAATAGCGGTGTTTTGAAGGCATGCGAGGGGTCGTCGCCAGAATTCGGCGACCCTTCCACGGCGACGAGGGAGCCGCTTGGGAACAACTACTACTATTACGAAGGACGTCGACGTCGACTTCCACTTCTTCTACTTCTACATATCATTATGTCGTTTACTGTTGCTTCTTAATTACGACTACTGCTGCTGCTGTTGCTTCAAGTATTTAGAACCAGTACGAGTTCTAGTAGTGCTACTATTTCTGCTCCTGCTCGACGCCGGCAGCGGCTCCGACCACTACTGCTACGACCGCTGCTTCTGCTTCCATGAGTACTCGATCACCGCCGCCGTGGAGTACATGTGACGAAGACGGATGATCGCAAAAAAGCAACACACTCATACAATCATGACAATCACCCGGCTCCATCCAGGACCTGGCAGGACATCATTTTGGCCAGACCGAAGTGATTTGGGGGTTTACGAACATACCTGTATATAGACCCCCAATAGTAGGACCCATACAATAAGGACCATGAAGGACCCCCAATAAGGTACTCAGGAGAGGCAGCTCCGCATCCTTCCGGGTGCTGAGGCCATTGGGGCAGAGGTGTTTCGGGTGACGTGGTAATTGCGCAGGGCTTGCCGAAGGGTTGTGCCAAGCTTTTGAAATTTTGAGTTCGGGGTTGTGGTCCTTAGTACCGTTGGTGTAGAGCAGGGGCTTACCTTCGCCAAATCCCATCTTCAAGGATTCCAAACTTCTCACAAGTTTGCCCAAGGAGGAGAGAGTAGATCCGCTGGACCCGAGCAACGAAGCGATCTACCATTCGTTTGAGCCAACGCCCCACCGGCCTGCATGGCTGCTTGCACGTCTCACCCTGCGCCCTCGATTCGCTCGTCTGAGTGGATGCCTCTCACCGGACGTATGCCAGAAAAAAAAGAGAGCCGCATCCCAGATACAGTATCAAGCCATGAATGTACAGAGCAAAGCCCATAAAGCCCTAAACCCTAAATCCTACTTCCGCCCGCAGCTTGGGTGGCAACACAAAGCCCCCTAACCCTAAAACCAATGGAACGCTTCGAAGACTTGACCGACAGCTAAAACACAAGGGCCACAAGGCGGTGCAGTGGGGCATGTTAGGGCTGTAAAGTGTTTGCTGCTGCAATCATCAGAAGGTTCCGGGCTCGTATGTCCAAACAGACCTATATTTGAGGGGTCCGATGACAATAACAACGGGTGACAATCCTAAAACTCGACTAAAGACACCCTAACATTACGCCGTAGCCGTAAAAATCAGGTAAATCGATAGGTCGGCTTAGGCCTATCGATAGACTTGAAGTATGATCGAGGGTTACGCGGGAATCTTGATCTACGAGTCGCGGTCCAATCGCATGTTTTGGATAGCTCTGGAGGTCCAGATCGCGATCTCTATGAACGTATGTGCGCATTGCCAGCCTTAATTCTTAGCTTGAGCGTGTGGGGCTGAGTTTTCCGAACCTAAGAACACAGATACTTGTTGTCCAGAATTAGGTCCAACAACACAAATCGTAAGCAGATGTAAAACACAAGGTTCCCAGCAAGCGACAAGGTACCAAGCAGCAAAGCAACTGTCCAAAAGCGACTTGCCATGATGTCAGTGGATGGCAGCCACTCACTTGCTGCACTCGCAGCTGACCCATCGGCTCGAGTCAGCCTGTGCTGCCTAGTCATCGTGATCCTGTGTGGTGATTACAGGTACACCCGCCAAATGAACACTCGTCACGCTCACGCTCACTTGCCTTCCATCTGTCTGGCTGTTCGAGTAAGGGCCCAACATACGGCGTAACTACAAGCAGACAGTTTCCAGCTTGCCTGGAAAGCCCCGCTCTTTCGTGAAACATGCTGCCCATTGGCAAAGCTTGCCATATCATGGAGTGCTTCAATGGCTTCGTCGGTGCTGTGCTTACTTGGGAAATGACGAGGGTCGCAAGCTTTCGATCATAAACCCTAAACCCTATACCCTATACCCTAAACCCTAAACCATCTCTCAGTCGTGCTTTGTCCTTGACCTGAGGTCGGGCAATGCCCCGGCTTCTGCACGATGTGGAGGCCGGGCAGTGGCCGAGATGTTGAACCACCAACTCGAACATTATATAGCCTTTTTCAGTGGAGCATCCTCAGAGCGTGCCTTCGTATGACAACCTTCTAACCGGAAGCCCAGCCCTGTGCGCATCTGCTTACTCGTACTGATGTGCCGCAGATACTTGCAAGTCGCCATTTTGTCCATTTCCCCACGTTAACAGAGGCCACCCTTGGTGACCGACTTTTGATTCTAGATTGTCAGGGTCGAACACCACGACATGCAAGCACTACAGCCATCTACAGCCCTTGCGTTGTGTTTACAGAAGGCGAATCTGCAGCGCGATATATGTGGGGTAGGTGCAGCTCAACTTGTTGGAAATGCTCGAGCAGGTGGAATCTAAAAGGAAAAATACCATACCCAGTATATTGTCGGCCTAGCGGCACGGGCCGGCCCACGCCCCCAAAAAACGAAACCTTGAAACTTGGCATGTGAAATCCTCAGCTCTTCTCTCTGTTATTTTTTTTCTGCCTCATTTCTCTTTTTTCTCTCCTGTTTATCTTCTCTCTACTCTCTCTCTTCTCTCTCTTCTTTCTCTTCTTTCTCTTCTCCCTCCTCTCTCTCTTCTCTCTCTTCTCTCTCTTCTCTCTCTTCTCTCTCTTCTCTCTCTTCTCTCTCTTCTCTCTCTTCTCTCTCTTCTCTCTCTTCTCTCTCTCCTCTCTTCTCTCTCTTCTCTCTCTTTTCTCTCTTCTCTCTCTTCTCTCTCTTCTCTCTCTTCTCTCTCTTCTCTCTCTTCTCTCTCTTCTCTCTCTCTTCTCTCTCTCTTCTCTCTCTCTTCTCTCTCTCTTCTCTCTCTCTTCTCTCT